TTTACTACAATCTTGACTTCTCAATTTCTAAAAAGCAACATTTTCCTGGAAAAGTTGAAGGAAGGTAATATCAGGTTGTAATAGACTTAGGTGAAGAAGTGATTAATCAAGGTAGTAACTTAAATCAAACTAAATTTAGGTAGTGCACTTTCTGTAAGAACTAGAAGACATGCTCTGTTTTCTATATTTCATCTCACCTTGATTTGCTGATCTATTATGCCCCGTATCCTAGTCGGATCTGGAATGAAACTTGGCTTGCTGGATTCTTCTACCAACCATGCAACTACGAGTTATTTGTTAAGCAGACTCTTAACATGGAAATGGCCATCGTCATGGCAAGGGTATGACTTCTATAACTTCATCTGTTTCCATTTATGGTTGCCTTCTGATCCACTTTCATTACCTTGTAAATCTACAGGAAGCTGGCGTGGATTGGATTATTCATCTTGATACTGATGAGCTATTACATCCAGCTGGAACTAGTGAGTATTCTTTACGACGTCTTCTGGCAGATTTACCTGAAGATGTTGATATGGTGGTCTTTCCTAATTATGTAAGTGATTGTACTTGCTTTTTGCTGTTTTTTAACTGTGTGTAAGCATGTAGTTGCATGCACGGAAAGCGAAAAAGCATGCATTTGCTTCCTTTTCGTTTTCTGCAGGTCCCTTCTTCTTGTTGGTATCTTCTCTGATGATGGCAAATATTTCAGGAGTGCAGTGTTGAAAGAGATGATGTAAAGGAACCTTTTAGTGAAGTAAGATTTCTTTCACTATATCATTTTTCTACTCTTTCAAGTTCTAGTGTTGAATGCAACCGTGTTTCTGCAACATCCTCAGTCGCTATACATGAGTAGCTTTTAATTTCTTTCAAAGATAAATATGTATAACTTGTTGGCCAATACTTCGGAAGCAAGTACTTGGAAATGAAGAAATTAATTATGGAACAAGTTTTCAACTTTTATGCTTTTCTCATTTGGACTGTTTACCAGTAATACATTTATACCTTGTGGTAGGTCTCAATGTTCAAGAAGAATTACGACCATCTCCCGAAAGAAACTTACTTTGGAAACTACAAGGAAGCAACCCGCGGTAATCCTAACTACTTTTTGACTTATGGAAATGGAAAATCAGCTGCACGAGTTCAAGATCATCTTCGTCCTAATGGTGCTCACAGATGGCACAACTACATGAAAAGCCCAAAGTATGGTGCTTGTTCGGCATGTAATTTCTAACTTTTTATTTCCTTATATCCCTATTTCATTTTTCATCTATCCCCAGTCTCCTCTAAGCACTGTATTATCAAATTCTTGCGCACACAAATGATGTTTGTCATGGTTTTTCACTTCTTTGGTATGTTCCTTAGATGATCTATTTTTCTTTAGCTATGTCGTTTACGTCTTAACTTTTACGTTACTGCAGTAGAACAATCCCCTTAATATTTTCCACTTGTGTAATGAAAATGTATTTTCTTATTGATTGTAGAGAGATAAAACTGGATGAGGCTGCTGTTCTGCATTACAC